TTTCATTTCTCCAACGTCCCCTGTTCTCCGTCTGTCTGGTGTTTAATCCTCCACCCTGGACTGCACAGGCTAACAGACATGTCAACACAGTGCAGAGAACTTTTCTTCGACAGTCTACTCATGGTCTACTATTAGCTTTATGAAGGAGTAGCAACAATTCCCTGAACCTATAGGCAGCTCAGGTTTATGGGGTCCAGTCACGGCGGTTTATCCTCTGATCTGAACAATGTTTGTAGGACCGAGAATTTTGAAGGATGTATTTGTAGTAACAAAAATAATCCCTCCTTAAACATGTGTTTTTAAAGTTTACCATAGTGACGAGAATCTATTCTATTAACGATGTCTGTGTAGGAGGTTTAACAGTGTCAGTGATAAGTGTTGTCTTTCTTTTGTGTGTGTGTGTGTGTGTGTGTGTACATGTTTATATCCAAAACCCGACAGTCTTGACTCTTGTCGCAGCACCAGGTAAATTACGTACAAACAACATCTCAGTCAAGGATTACTCTGACTCTCATGTAGGATTAGTGCTCAGTACACGGGTGTGTTTATTGGCACCTTCGTCTGCTTTTTCCAGTGTGTTTATTTATGTTTGTGACCGTGTGTGTGTGTGTTAGAAGAAGAAGTTTGACTCTAATCGGCTCTGTCCATGCATACTTAATGTCCCTCTACAGGTCGCTCATTAGAAGTGTCTCAGCTAGACAAACCATTCAATATCATCATTGGCTGTTTTTGTGTTTTTTGTGCCAGAGTTTGTGATGATTAGAGCCAATAGGTATGAACGCATATAGATGAAAGTGCGATGGTCAGTGCTCTGAGCTAACTTTTTATTAACACTGGACTTCCTCTTTCCAGACCGCGGCAGTCTGTGTCTGTGTGCACTGACCTGCAAGCCCAGGTGCTCCAGTGCTACAGAGGAAACCCACAGCAGACTCTGCACTGCTCCAACCTGGCAAAGCAGTACATGACCTGTGTGCAGCAAGCTAAGAAGGTACGTTGATAAAAAAACTTGAATTACTGTATTTTCCGGAATATAAGTCGCTCCAGATCATAAGTGGCACCAGCCAGCTACAGTGCCCTCTAGCGGCGGTCAGTGTGAAAATAACGAACATGTAAATTTTCATTGGTACAACATTAGCAGATACTAGTACACAAGTCTAGAGTGCCCTCTAGAGGTCAGTGTGAAAATAATGAACATGTGAAATGATATATTTTAATAGTCACAAACCCAGCCAAAGGATGAAAAAAATCGTGACTTATAGTCCAGAAAATTCCATAGTTCCTTTATTTTTTTAATGAATGTAAAATAGTCAGTTTCTACAAACAGATTTTCTATTTAACCTTTCCTTATCATCGTTTGAAAAGCACATGCAAGTCTTTTAAAGATGCAGTAAAATTCAGTGTGACCTTAAAGACTTGTGAAGAGCTTTGGTCCCAACTAATACCAAGAAGCAGAAAAATGATTTAAACACCTCCATCCTCCTGTGTGTGTGTTATGAAACGTCCATCATTGTGTTACTACTGCTCTTCTTATCTCGTCATCCACGGCTTTTAATGCTCTTAGAACAGTTGATCCATCTCGTCCTCCTGTAGGTGAATCAAGCAGTGAATCATATTTTATTATGAAATAACACTTTCTGAAGAATCATTTTGTTAAAGTGTCGACTGTCTGATAATGGGGTATTAATCTCTGTACTGAACACTGGTTGATGACAGAAGTATTTGATATACAAAATATACAAAAAACTCTGCACTATTTCCATATGAAAACTTTTAATCAGCAGGATTTAACCTGTGACTGCAGTAGGGTTTACATTGCACGCTGTAAATGTGTATGTATAAAAAAGCACTTTTTCCATTTGTTGCTGAAGGGCAGCGGTAATGCACTGAGATATTTTTCAGACGCTCTCAGCAGACCCAAAGCTGTTTGTTTGTGGCACTGTACGGAATAAACTGCCTGTTCACGGGCAGATAAACTACCCAGCGTGTGAAAACGGACATTCAACATTTGAAAGCAGTCATTTTCTTTAGCCCCGTGCAACAATAACATGACTATTCAGTAGATGAAAAAGCTTTTAGTCTGGTGAAAACCTCACGACATCTTAAAAGCTCTGTTCTTTTGTTATATCTGTATACGCCTGCAGGCTTCTTCAACAGCACACTCATTTTTTTCTTTGATATTAAAGGGAGCATTCAGCATATTTCCAAACATTAATCTGTCTGAAGTCAATATCTTCTGATACCTGATTTTCTTGGATAAGAAGTTGTCTTCTACTCTTCTTCAATTTAGTACAAAAAAGCTTTAAACCTCTCAAATATTTATGTTTAAAGCCTTTCTCTTTCTCATTTCTCTGGTGTTTTTCTGTCTTTGACAGTCATCTACAGTTGATTATTTTTACATTACGATACATGTAAACAGAATAACCTTAAAACTCTGATTTCGATCAGTAGCTCTGTTCAAATATGTAACTGCGCCCCCACCAGTATCAGCAAGGATGAAGTTCTTCGACCGACTCAAATATATTTAAAATTCACCAGGTCTTCATTTTAAAGACCACGTTTCATCCATCCATTAAACTGATCATTAGCTACACAGGATAACCTGTTGTCATGCATTACCTGTCCTGCTCCTCATCACCAACTTGTGACCTGTCAACCATCCGTCCATTCAGATGACAACCTGCTCTGACACTGATAACAAAAATCCACCAATGTTTAGATTTTGTTTTGAGTTTTTTTTAGAACTTCTCAATATCCTACACATTGAATTTTGTTTTTTGTTTTTGTTTTGTTTTTTCCGACAGTTGAGCATTCTTGATTGCAAAACAAAATGAAATATTCTGCGTGTCATGACTGAACTTTCCAACCATTTTTAAAATATATAATCTCTACCGTTACAGATCTGTTCAAATGTCAGTCAGCCGTCTGTCTTATCTGTCTTTTTTTTTTAAGCCTGTGTCCAGATCTGGATATCACTAAAGGGTCTGTCTCCTGTTTGAAGTCCACACAAACCACTATCTACACCGGCAGGGATTTTCTAAAAAGTTCTTTTATGTTTTATGATTTATGCACACACACATTTTCTCCACACCTTCCTCCTCCTGCCGTCCACTTAGGACAGTTTCTGTCAGTGTCTGTGCTCAGGTGTCATTGTCATGCATATGGGACCTTAAGTTAAGTTGGTGTGTGTGTATGTGTGCAGGGTAAATGTCAGTGATTATGTCAGCCTGTGTCCAAATCTTTGAACTTCATAGCCAGTGTGGTGGTTTAACTTAACTCTCAACCAGCAGTGATCAGCTCCATAATAACAATAATAATACATTAACATATAATTAAAAAGCACTAATGCACCAAAGGACCTTGTTTTGATCTTTTGCAATTTTCATTCAAGTGGAGAATTTGATCATTTAAAGTAGAAACGATTGCCTTTTCAGCAGAATAAGACAAGAATAAAATATGCCCCTCAGTGGAGGAATAGATTGGGGCTAATGATAGACAAGAAAACTGGAAGGAGGCAGAGTGTCTGTCAGGGAGGAAGAGGTAATAGAAAACTGTGAGAGTACAGCAGTCAGGGGCAGATGATGGAAGGAATGTAGAGCGGGTGTTCAGAGAGAATCAGAGGGGGTGTGTTAGTGGGGGGGGGGACAGCAGAAGTGAAGGTGGAATATAAAGGAGGAAAGCATTTCTGCCGCAGAAAGAAGAGTGTCAGAAAACACTCTGAAGAAAATGATATGTTGTTTATGTGTTTACGTCTGTATGGCGTTCAGTAGCAGCAGGTTTGAGAGCCGCGCCGTGAGCTTTGGACACACATTTATTTACGTTGTATAATGTGCCTTCCTATCACCTGTGCTCCTACACCGATTACAGCTCATGTATGATTCCCACTTACCTTTAATTTCAGTGAATAACTTCATTCATGAAGGATGAGAATCCTGGACCGGTTCTTGTTGAATATGTCTGAATTTCACACAAATATTGAGAAGACAATAAGCTTCTTTGACAACCAAAAAAACTGGGAAATACCTACAGCCTACAGGAACAAAATCCACTGAGATTAAGAACGTATTTTTGAAGAGAGAGCTGGCCAGAAAATACAAAAGTTAAAATACAGAAAAATATATATATGAAAAACAGGTAAATGATCTGATGGGTCATACATAATGAAAAACAGGTAAATGATCTGATGGGTCTTAAATATCCCAGGTAAAGTTAAAGTCAATCAGTTCCTGCTGTGCGTAATATTAATGCCATTCACCGACCTGCTTTCACTACAGTGTATTAATAACGTCCAGATGACATTTAGATGATGAGGATGAGTTTACGTGGCCTTCAGTTGACTGTCTAATTAAATTACAAATGAGCGTCTCTCTTACCTGGGCGTCGGCTCGGTCGCATTACTGTTGGAATGTCCAAAGCTTTATGACACACAGACTAGAGTCGAATTTATCCACTGAAACTCAGAGGCTGCCTCAGGTTCCTCTCTCACACACCTGGGTTATTTAAAAAAAATCTCAGAACCAAATATTTTTTAAATCTTTTATTTACACAACACAATGAAAATCACTAATAAAACCGGTCAGAAATTGAATCAAATAGTGATATTGTTAATGGAATCAAACTGTAAACTCTTCATCCATTCCCATCTCTAAACTTGATTCTCATAAATTTGACTTCTCGTCATACAGTCGTCCTGTAGAAAAAGAACTCAAACACATGCTATATTTTTCTTTCTACACTGTGATGTCCACTGTTGTAGATTTGAATTAATCCCTAACTCACTCCAAATTATTCATATTCAACTCTAAACACACAACTCACACGTTTCCCTCTCTCTTTACATCTCGTTCATTCTCACCTTCCATCCCGGCTCTCAGCTCTCATCCGTGATCTCCAAGGCAACCGCAGCATGATGACAGACGAACCATTCGCTGTTGTCACTCATGTCGCACTTCTCTGTCGTTCAGCAGCCACTCAGTTCCATCTTACACTCCGTCAGCCTCCAGACCAACACCTCCTTAGTGCGAAAGATCTCCACTAAGATGACCACAGGAGCAGGTTCTTCCTGTAGAAGAACTTTATTTGGCTGTCGATGGGTTCATTAATATGTTTTTATGTTCTCCATTTTATCAGAAAAAGCTTTAAATATTTTTTAATGCATTCTTTACCTTTTTTGTGTCCTACATAGATTTTGTCTGGTGAAAGATGTTGAACACAGAAGTCACAGAAGTAAAAAAAAAAGTCTCTGTCGACTGTCATACATGAGCAGGATTTGAATATTACCACCTTAAATATGAATATTTGAAGTCAAAATATACGTACATCATATGTGTGATAAATGTGACTTCTTGATCATTTCAGGTTCAACGCTGACACTGAAGTGTCTTCAGCCAGTTTATCAAACAAATTCTCCTCAAATTACGTCAGCGACCGTTCTGCTCAGCTGTGGAGCGGCTGATTTACACGCTGACACACCTGATTGCTTCTTCTCGGCACTCTTCACTCACAGACCAACTGTCTGACTGAATCACTGAGCAGAGTGCTGATTGGCCAGTCAGTCAGAGCGCTTCGCTAACCAATCACAGAGTCGCTGACCAACGCGCACATAACACAACACAACTAATGACTGACTGAGTAAATAAGACGCCTCCTTATCGGTGACTAATTGACTGTGGGGTCGTCACACTCACTGTGTAATCAGTGAACGTCTCCGTGTTTATAAAGCAGCTACACCCAAAGCCACTCACTGTTGTGAGCGTCTGATTGACAGTCCTGCCTGGCAACTGTCTGTGTCCGTCCAGAGAGAGAAAGGGGGGGCGGGGGGGGGGGGGGGGGGGGTGGTTGGCACAGCAGGGAAGACAGTTATTGATTTTCTACTTCTCCTTTTATTTTTCTGTTTTTCACGTAGTGGAGGCGAGTGAGGCAGACCTGTCTGTGATTGAATGAGTGTCTACATTAATTACGTTCATACAGGACGGCCGTGGTGTCCTCCTGCTGGACGGCCGCCTGTACTGTATGTCGCCCATTAGTTTATGGCTCCTGGTTTGTGGACACACCTTCCGTATGTACGCTATTGCTCTAAGTGCTGTCTTCTACTTCACGCTGCTCTCTAATTGGATGAGAACTGACAGGAGGAAGAAGAAAGAAGGTTCTATTTGTGTGTGTACGTGTGATCTCCACATACACCTTTGCATCTCAGCCAGTGTGTGATAATTAAATGCAGCTGTTGTTTCAACTTTGCAAACAACTGTATTGGAAAAAAAACAAAAAACAACGGTGACTCACGGCGGTGATTGCGACCACAGAGAACGATGAAAGAAGAAAAGGAACGAGGCGGTGGGCGGCAATTGCGACCATAGAGAACAATGAAAGAAGAAAAGGAACGAGGCGGTGATTTTTATTTATTTTTTTGTCTCGGTTATCGAGTCTGCTTAGATCTAATCCTGTTGTATGACAATAAACTAAGCAAGACCAAAGGTTAATAAAGGCCGTGTGTGTTTGTGCAGACCTGAGCCAGGACTTTTGGCCGTCCTCTCCTCCCTGTCTTAAAATTATTCAAATGAAATGTGGATGGCAGTGGTCCAAGTCTAGATTTGAGGCAGTGGATTTTACTGTGGATTGTGCTCGGGGTTAGTTTAAAATTCACAAGCTACTTCACAGACAATGCGTGCATAATCGCGCACGCTCACACATGCAAGAAAATGAACATGGACTCAGGAGAAAAAAAATGTAAATCCCTCCAAATATCCACCACACCACAACGATGTGTTTCTGTTCATTTACATATGCAGATCCGCACTGACACGCTTTGGATTTTATGACCTCGGTGGCACAAGGAAAAATAAATCCCCTTTTCACATTCAACGTTAACCTTCCATTCTCTGCCACCGGCAGGTAAACAGCTCAGCTCTCTGCCTGTGTCTGGTGGTTATCATGACGTACCAGTGACTTTAGGTCAACAGTTGCCACTCGTGTGTAGGTTTCACCTTGTCCTAAAAAGACAAACTTTCTCATGTCAAATACTGACACTGCAACTTGGTGTATCTGCCGATACTGACGGCTATAGTGTCCGTTCACAGCATTTGTGCAGTTGTTGCAGTTGAGTGTGATTTAGTAACTTGAGGATTTGGGCCTTGGTATCAGATCGGACGCACACATTACTTCCAATTTACTATCCAATGCATTCCTGATTTGTGAAAAAAACAAATATTAAACTTAAAATGAAGCTGTAGAATTTTTTAAGTTGGTCTCAAAATATATATTTTTTTATGTCCTTGTACCCCAGTGTTACGTCCCTGTCCTTCCCTAGTGGATAAAAGGAGGAGAACCAAGGTCAATTTTTACAAGGCCAAGAAAGAGGTCACTGACTTCAGGCTTGGTTTCCTAGAACAAAAACAAGGATTTTATTATAAGTATTTACAACCAAAATGAAAAACAAACACAGACTGTCAGTCTACAAATAGGTTAACTGGTTAAACTGGTTAAATCAGTTAAAATCACTGGTCAAAAACAATGAAACAATCCAACTGACCAGACAAAAAAACACTTCTTTTTTTTTTCAAATATACCTTAAGACTCCAACCTGTGCTTTTTTTGCACGGCTCAAATGTCAACGTTCTAATTGTGTCTTCTCCCCCTCCATGTGTCTCACCTCCTTTCTTCTTCAGACGTCAGTGACCAATCACGGCTGAAAAACCTGCGGAAAGACAAACAGGAGGAAAAGTTGAAGAAGAAGATGACACTGTGTCCCATCCGTCCATGGCAACAAAACAACACTTTCTTTTACCACTCACCATGCTTTTATTTTTGTCTTGATTTGTCACTCCAAAGTGTATGAGGAGTTGATTTATTGTCAAATTGCACCAGCACATCCCTGCTGCTGCTGCTGCTGCTGCTGCTGCTGCTGGAGAAATAAATCCCAGGTGACGAGACCCCGGGTTGTGTGTTTTTCTGCCTCTGTGTTTGTATGTGTGTGTGTGTGTGAGTGTGTGTGTCTGTTCACAGCATGCTAATAATGGTTTCGCTACTGAAAATGAGGTCGCGTGCACTCTGCTGACAATGATGTGCAGGCCCCGGGGTTTGATTTTGTGTCGTGCTCACGGTTTCATTAAGAGAGAGAGAGAGAGAGAGAGAGAGGCTGTGTGAGTGACACCAAGGAAATAGGAGCTAAATGAAGTGCACGACAAAGTGGCGGTCATATTTATTTTTTTTTTTTTGCATCGATGTGTGTGTGCCTCTCCCCCATCATGCCTGTGTACAGTGTGTAATTATCACACAGCGCAGTTCATGTTAAGGCGCGCACGTGAGCGGTGCAGCGGACAGGCCACATTGTCCCCGCTAGTTTGCTACTCTGTTTCCATGGTGACAGCAGAGGTTGGTGCTAGCAGCAAGGTGTGGAGGAGCCTTCCAGATAACCCTGAAGGTCAGCACCGCTCTGTGTGTGTGTGTGTGTGTGTGTGAGTAAGTGTGTGTGTGTGTGTGTGTGTGTCAGAGAGTGTGACAGAGAGTCAGTCAAGATGCATTTTCTCTTATATATGGACATGGTCGGCCACCCTAAGTATGACAGGGTCTTGTTATCGAACAAACACAGGCACACACACACACACACACGCACACACACAGAGTGCAGCCCTACAGAGAATATTAATAGACTTCCACTGTGCTCACATACTTGTGCCTGGATATAAATCCACGTTCACACAAGTGGCAGTCGATGTGAATGTAGTGGAGTGTGTTTGTTAATGACGGCTGTGAGGAGAGATCTATTGATCACAGTTTCCCACACTTGCCACCGTGGCATTGATCCAGACGTAACCTACACGGTGCCACCGACAAATCCATACAGAGAGTGAGTACAATAGAGCCAACTGGGCTTCATTGTTAAAGTCTAGTGTGAAAGACCACTGAACTGCTGCAGCGCGAGCTGCACAGGAGCGATGGTCAGCGTTGGTGTCCAGACTCTTCCTGACCTAACGAGGGCACATTAGCGTATTTGAAGGTTTTAGCCACTGACTCTCATATCCGCTGTCTTTCTGTGACATTTCTTTACAAATACCAGCCTCTATTCAATCTGTTATTGCCTTCAAACAGCCGGCAATTCTCTGATTAAACACGCTCATGAAAAGCCCGGCCACAGCTATCTGCCATTTGGCTTTTTAATAAAAACTCGCCCACTTTAATTAAATTGGCTGAATTGCAGAAATACCACGGCTATATGACAAATATATTGGTTAAGAGAGCACAAAGGGTGCGAGAGGGGGAAAATGAAAGACTGGGCTTTATGAGGTGTTTTGAATGTGGTTTGCTGAGCAGATGAGATAAACACAATCTTGATCAGAAGCTCAGGTCCATCCATCCAGTCTGGACCACTGTGGCCAAACACAGGAGCAGCTTCTTCTTTAGTGTTTTTTTTTTTTTTTTTAAGGATCTTTGCTGAACTTGATTTATTTTTCACTCCCTACTTCACCGGCTCCATGTCATCCCCACACCTTTAGTGCCAGCGTCTTATTAGTATGAAAGACATGGGATTGAGGTTGCCATGGCAACCAACGCTGCTTTGACTTGGTAAGACAGCTGCGTGGTGCACAGTTAGGAGACGGCTGCTCATGCCTTTCACTGCTCCTCTATTGATTTCCAGTCTTTGACAATTACTGGCCCTGGTTGACTACAACGTGGACAGAAAATGTGCATAATGGGGAGTGAGCGTCAGTGTGTGTGTGTGTGTGGGTGGGTGCGTGTGTGTGTATGTCACCGTCTATGTGCTGAATTTTTCACTCGGCGGCACAAGATTCCATAATTGTCTTCCTTTTGTTCTGCCCACTTAAGTGCAGGTGTTTGTGTGAAAAGCCGTTCTTTGACGTGAGCTTTAACACGTCAGATGTCCTGCAGCCTGAGTCGGCGACAAATCTGACAGTCAGCGACGGAGACTGCTGTATGGTTTTTACAACTCCGTGCTGTCCTGTCCTGTTTTTTTTGTTTTTTTTGTTTTTTTTTACTTATTGTTTGAAACGGCTGGTGTCAGCTCTTATTTCTCTGGCTGAAGACTTTTCTTGAAGAGGCTGAAGTGTTGAGCTCAGTGGAAGTCAGTCCGACACCTTAAGACACTGGACCTCTATTATTTTCTGTCACACACCCCCTGACCCACACCCCCGCAGATTGAAATACTATTGAGAACCTGATAACATGTATATTTTTTATCTGTACAAACCACTGTATGAGCTGCTGCCACCTAGTGGCTGGAGGCTTGTTATCATTTAATCATTACATCAGTCGTACATTTCCATATCCAGCGTGCTGTGTTCCAGCCCCTCACGCCCCCTCTGGCACCTCACCGTGCCCCCCCCCCAAGGGGTCCCGCCCCACTATTTGAGAAGTACTGCCTTAAGAATTCGCATTCGTTCAGAAAAATGTACCCAACATGCAAAGTCACTCTCCTCTGTACTGATGTGTCTCCTTCAAATTCCTCGACCTCTCGCTCCTTCATTCTTTCCTTCCCCCTCAGCCGACTTGGCGTTGTGTGTGAGAAGCGGAGGGTGAGGCCTAATTGGAGTGTGTGGCTGCGTCACTGAGAGTCGGCGCTCTGTTTCTACATGCAGCACACACTCACACGCAGCTCTCCAGCTAATTGAATAGTCTTTTATTAAACTGTGTTAATGTGAACTGGAACTGGCTGTGAGTGAATTGAATTAGACCCCCCACTACAATCAGCAACCGTACACATAAACACACGCAGCTCATTGGAGCGGTCGGATGGATGGATGGAACCTCAGCACGCCGCACGGAGGAGGAGGAGGAGGAGAATTGGGGGAGTGAGGGCTGAGTGTGCTGTTGCGTTCTCTATAATCAGCTTCTATGATTGTTTTTGTTCATCACACTTAAGGGGCCCGGCGCCGGAACCATGCAAATGCACAAGGACACTGGTGTTAACACATGCTCACAGACACGTTTTGGTGCCTTTTCTACACTGTTCTCATTTCACACTGATCCACATGAGGTATGAGGTATTGTGCTGACACACATGAGACACCGCGCTGCACACAAAGCCTTAGACGACTTCAAGATGATTTCAAGTGAAAACATTATTCAGTTTCCCCTCTTTTTATATTTGTGTTTTTCCTACAGCTGTCAACTGGATTTATCATGATTAATTACAAGTTTAATTCATCACAATTAAGATACTTTTACAGTCGTAATTATGACAACAAAAGTTTTTTTCTGTATTGTGGAACATAAAGAAAGTTTGTATTTGTGACAATTCCAAATGATGGGATACTTCTGTCTAATCTGTAAAAATGTCAAGAAATATAAACAGAAGTACAGCTGAAAAAATACCTTCATTTATTAGCCGTTGCTTTTGCCGACCGTACTGTTTATTAATATTTGTAATGTATATACAGTACACGACCTAAACTTAAATCCCATCTTTAAGAGCAGCACCCCATGGTTAGCTTAGCGGCTACAGTCCGTCTGGCTTTTTAACCTGGTCCGCCATATTAGTCTAAATGATGTTAGTGATTTCTGACATTATACTTCTGCCATTTCCCTGCAGTGCCTGCATTTCCCCAATTGATGGCATAGTCTAAAAGCATTTTAGCATTTATGCATGACTTTTACATGTCATTTGTCTTGCTGATTCTATCTGCTCCTGCCCCGGCCCCCCTCTCAAACTTTAGGACCTATTGTGGCCCGAGGGTCAAAAAGTTTGCCCACGCCTGACTTAGCAGTTGTCTTAGCTTCTTTAATAAGGACACTTACAGGCGGTTGAATGAGTCACCTCAGCTCGAACTATAGAACAGAGCCATCTTTTTTCGGTCAGTATCTTACAATGATGTCCTTTTTTTTTTTTTTTTTTTACGGGACATGAAATGAGTCCACCGCTTGTTAATCCTGAAAATGTGCCGCTCCGAGTATTCCAACTCCATCTGACCCAGGGGGTAAAATGTTCTGTTTCATCCAGCATCTACAGACGGAGGAAGAGAGAGAGAGAGAGAGAGAGAGAGAGAAGCAACTACAAAGGCTGGTGGAGAGATAACCAGAGGGGTCTGGAGCAGCAGGGGAGCTGACCCAAGTGTCTGGAGTAAAACTGGGCCTGTCACAACTTATGACTGAGGGTGGAGAGGTTGAAGAACCCCGGCACTGTCGAGGCCAACGGTGGAGCAGAGACGGAGAGGAGCTTTGGAGGAACCGAAACAAAAAGAAAGGTCAGGGAGAGTCCCGGTGGAGCGGGGAGAATAAAAGAGTACGGAAAAAGGAAAGAGGTCAAGGTTATCGAGGATGAAATGTTCCATCTGAGAGTCATGGGCCGTTAGTGGGGAAAAGAATTGGTTAAGGTAGAGAAGTTCTGGGGGAGAGAGCCCACCGAGACCTGTGGAGGCATTTTGAAGACGGCAGCTCGCTCCTTTCTGCTTTATTATATTACACTGGTGGATAAAAAGAACCTGACACCCTCTAAAGTCATTACAGCGCAGTACGACTGGCTCAGAGGAGCGTGCTGCTCCTTAACTCCGTCTCGGCAAATGCCTGGATGTTTGTGCATCTCACACAGTCTGATTGAATGAATGGAAGGATGTGTGCATGTCAGAAACCCACAACGGGCGCACATGTGTGTGTGTGTGTGTGTGTATTGGCCAAAAACCAGAGGAGCACATCACTTAATCCTCCCCCAGTAACTTGGATAAGCCACCAGTCTTATCTCTCCCTCTCCCCCTCCTCGCCCCCCCATCCCTCCCCTCTCTCTTTCTTTCCTCAGGAAGCCATTGTCCCTTTTCCCATCATGCCCCTCTCAACCCCCTTCGTCTCTCATTCTTATTACTACCCTCCTCTGCCCTCAGACTTAAATGCCTCATTATTCTGTATTTTGGGCAGAGAAGAATCTTCCTCTGCAGTGACAGCGGAGAAAAACATGGCTCCTACGTTCCGTTGGCGCTCCATTGGCAGGTTGCACACAGGATTTGAGAGCAGCCTTTCAGGGAGAAGGATTTTGCTGCCACTTACAATCTTGCTGCCGACTGCTGGCAAGGTGTGATATTGTGATATTATGCCCGGCAGTGTAGCTACAACTAGCTGTGGGCCAGGAGCAACAGGTTTGAGGACTAATCTGCCGTTTGTGAATAGAACAGACCGGAAACAGCGGTGATTCATCGGTATTTGTTCAAACCTCCTGCCTACTCACTCTTGAATTTCCAGTACGTGTTTTGCTACTATGCTAAATTCGTATAAAATGTGTTTCTTCCTTCCAATCGAGTGAGTTTACCCCCACAACCGCAGGACAATGTAGCAATTCAAGGCAAAAAAAAAAAAAATCCCCCAATAAACCCATGTGTACACTACCTTCATAACACCACATGGCAGACAGATAAAGCTAGCAATTAGCTGTGGAGCATTTAGCAGCAGAGAAGCCACATATTTCCCTCAGGATGTGGAATGTAGCAGCACAGAGGCCGCGGCGGTGAGAATTGGGTTAAATTCCTCAGGTAGTCGCCGATGTTTCTTTTAATGAGCGCTAATGTTACTTTCTGCTCACATTACGAAGAGATACAGTATGTCGATGTTGTTTTTACAGCTAAATGTGATGCCCCCGCTGGTGTGTTGCTGCATTTAATTGCAACTTATCAGCTCGGCTAGCTCGTTTGGCTGCTGGATATTCAAAAGTCAACCAACTGCGACCTCTTTTATTAGAAATGATTGACAAAAATGAAGAGGAGGAAAAGCATGCGCTAAAGCTACTTTTTTTTAACATTTAATTACAAATATGAATATGACTAAATGGTGTTGGGTTTTTTTTGTAATCAGCTTTTGGAACTCTTATCAGGGATGCTAATGCTAAATGTTTAATGCGCTGTGTAATCTCTGCCCATTTCATGAGGTAAATGTAAGCATGAACATGAATTAGTAATGCTCCCCATCCATTCCTTTTTCCTGCTCAGAGTCAGATGAGACACTGTAGTGTGAATGTGGGTGTGAATGAATATAAAATGTCCTGTAACCCTTAATGTGCCTGCACTTATCAATTCATGATGTCATTCGGTTTAACTGATTTAGGGAACTGTCTTTTCACTGCCATCGATCTTTACAAAAATAACCATTTATCCTGAACTGAAGATCCACGTGGTTGGTTTGATGCCTATACTGTATGAACAGTCCAGTATTTTAAATCAGTCTGGGCCAACCGCTGGGCCGAAGTGGATAACGTTTGTGCTACACAGCAAGAAGGTTACCTGTTTGATTCCCAGTCTTTCTGTATGGAGTTTGCATGCTGGACTTCCTTCCACTGTTCTCGGTCATTATAGAGATAAATGTAGAGACAACCAACCGCTCACACACACACTCATACCTGGAGTCAATTCTTCAAAGTCTTCTTTTAACCTTATTTGTACGTTTTTGGACCCAAGTCAATAGACATTATTCGTAAACTCATGGGAAACGGAAATGATGCGAGACAACCTCAAAAAAAATCTCTTGCGACCCACCTAAGTGTTGCGACCCAATGCTTTAGACCACACCCAGGAACTGTCGACATAAGTGAGAAAATTCTCTCGGTTTATTTGGTTTTTAGTTTGCTGACTTTGAAACGTTAGTTCCTCATATGTACAGGAAACGATTGTTTTGGGTTGTTTTTTGCCACCTTCTTATGCGAGCTGTCACTGCAGTCTGATCAGTGATGTATTTATAACACACTCACTTCTCTGCCCGTGTCTGCGCTTGTTCTTCCTGTCACTCACGCACTTACACCCAATCATTGTGTCAATAATGGCAGCGCGCTGTTTGTTTAATGATCCTATCTCCTCACATAGGCGGCTGCTATCGGCTTTGTCTGGCACCGAGAGAGAAGTGTGTGTGTGGACACCGACTGACTTGTACTCACAGAGACGTCTTTCCTCAGATGTCCCATGTCAACACATACTTTGATTACCTAAAAAACAGGCGGACTCATTGGTAACACGGCCCTGCACGGAGTCTCTCAGAAGGGTACGTGACGTTAGTACATCAAATCACTTTCAATTTTCCCTCCAATCCCGCTGTTTTGTTTTTCTTCCCCTTGTCTGTGATTAATACTGTATTAAAGAAGAAAAAAAAACCCAACAAACCCTGTTTGCCTCAACTTTCATCTTCTAACTTTAGGAGCGGAGGCAAATCATTGCCAGCACATCAAATAAACACAGCCAATTTCCTTCCCCGCCGACAGAGTGATTTTACCTTAAACTTCCAATTAACTGCCTTCACTTTATCCATCAGTTGCTCTGCAGAGAGACTCTCTCTACCCACCACACCATGCACATCAGCCACACTGAGATCAATTCAATGATGATAGGCGTCGGCGCCGTATTCATCAAACACAGCGAGTTATGACAGTGAAGGGAAATTAATATTTAGCTGCTTGTTTCTGCTTTAATGCTGTCTCTAGATATGTGTGAACAAATGTGTGTGTGTGTGTGTGTGTGTGTTTTCAGTAGCAGAGTAAAATTCTGGGGTATCTTCTGGGGGTCACTTTGATGAGGAGACTGGGGTGCCGTGTTTATTGTATAACTGCACAGCAGAGCCGTTAAAAGCAGGTGAGCACCGATGAACAGGAGATGAAGGGGCGTGTTGGTGTGTAAGTGTGTCGTTTCTGCCCATAGATGGCAGCATTACCCTCCGACCTCCTGGTGTCACACCCCTCAAAAGCGTTCCACTGCAGCAGGGCTGAAGAAGACCGTCTTCCCTTCTAGCCTGGTGATCAGAACAGGTTGTGACGTCATCAACAGTGCAGCAGAAGAAGTCACCTGCTGCACATGAGGCTGCTCTGCACACCGACACAGGTTTGACTGATTTTCAACAAGTTTCTTCAGCAGTCACTTGATAAAAGACCCACTGGTGCTCTGATGAATTATAATGTAGTTTGATATATATCTATATCTATATCTATATCTATATATATATATATATATATATATATATATTCGTTTTAGTTTGGTCCAAATGAATTTATCTGAATGGTTTTAGGACATTGTTAAATACACTTTTACCTGCAAGGTATGAATTTGTTACAGGAACAATAAAAAAAGATTTGCTGTCTCTGTCATAGTATAGCTGAACATATATATAAAATATATAATTCTGCTTTGAAGAATGAAAAATCTGATCAAATAAATGTAACAAAGCTCAACAATAGTAAAAAGTAGAAACTGGGTTAATTATAAAAATTACAATTCTAGCAAAATAACTCCTACAATATATATTTTAGTCTAACCCCTGGTGGTCAAATACATAATAATCTTTTTCTACTTTATGGTGTTTTTTATTCACGTCCTAATTCCTGTAATAAATATTATTATTGATCAGCCAAAGCCACTGATCATTCAGAACATTCAGTGCGTAACCTGTTCATAATTGAGCTTCGAGCGATGGTTTCAGCTACTTATTCAAAACACAGATGACAAGTGGAATCAATCGTCTTTCTTCTCTGTGGAAAAACACAGGACAAAAAAAACCCCTGCATTTTGCAAAATATCGAACTGTTCCTTTAAAGCTTCGTTTCGCAAAATATCGAACTGTTCCTTTAAAGCGTCGGCCTTTGAATGACCACAGGTCTGTAGTAACCAACACACGGGGCGTGTGGACTGGCTCTCCTCATCTGCTGCACAGATGCCTCAACATCTTTCTTACCATCGCAACCCGTGAAATTGATTCTTTCTATCCGTGTGTTTGGGAGTGTTTTCTCCGCGTGACACAGGTCGGACTCTTGTCTCCCTTCACGCCTCCCCCTCAGTCACCTGGTGTGTCTGTGTGGCGTGCAGACACTCATTTCACGCTTCATTGGTCGCCTCACCAGCTCCATTAATAAACACAACCCTTTGTTGCTGTGTCTTTCCAACCTGTGTGTGAGTGTGGGTTCACTTCTCGTTAGTGATCAGCTGGAGCACGTCACGCTGATCTGACGTGTTAGAGGTGAAAGGAAAAGACATGAAACTCATCACCAACTTTAACAGTTAGCTCCTGTCCACCTGTGGTGTTTGGGTAAAAGTATTGTCTTACGCCACGATGAGTCAAAAAGGTCTGGAATATGAAAACAATCCTCAAATTCAAAGTCAAAACTCTTCTGCATCCTGTGTTTCCATCAGAGATTTTCATCTTTGTAGAATTTTCTGGAGAACCCTCTTTTTCAACAGGTCTTCACCTGCTTCCTGTCGATCAATAACTGTTGAAAAACTTAATTAATTTTGACAGGTTTTCTGTCCAGTCGGGTCAAAAATGTAATGTTCTGGTCTGATCACAGAACTGTCTTTGATTTAGCAGCATCATTGTTGGAGCAGCGTGGTTCAGAGCGTGTGGAAAAACGTAGCGGCTTATATTTCGGACATTACAGTATTTAGAAGACGCTTCATGATCAAAGTCCTGATGAACTTTCCTCTGTAGGGGCATGTAGGTGTGTGAACTACTCCCCCTCTCCAGGGGCTTTACCTTGATATCTGGGGCAGAGCCTCAAACTGACCATAACTACGTGAAGAGGAGAAGATTTCCCAGCAGTTGCCAATCTGGGTTCGTACCTGCTTCACAGCTGCCTCTTACTCTGTTACTCCTTCTGATCAGCAACAGTTGGTGCAATCACTCACTGATTAAATGAAATTACAGGCTTTGTCCTGAATGATGACACCATGTCACTGACATCATGTGAAATCAGCTACACAAAAATCACAGCTGATTGTTTTTGGCCTTGTGCTCTGTTCTAGGTCTGGAAAAACGCCCGACAAAAAAACGCACACTGCTCTGTTCGCCTGTGTGTGTGTGTGTGTGTATGTGTGTGTGTGTGTTTTAAACATTTGTAAAGTGCTGTGGCCGAGGCCCATCGCCCAGACCGGCTTTTCTCTGACATTATTATATTGATGGTGATAAATAGTCAGGTTTAGTGCCATCATGTCTGACAGTTCCAACAATATAACGTTTAGTGATTTGTGATGTAGTTACTCAGAGTAACCATAGTTGAAATATTGTATGGTCCAACCCAGTGGTTTTCAAAGCACCTGTGCAGCCAGGGGGCGCCAGTGGGTCCTTGGAAAATTTGAAAAAAATAAAACAAAACACCATGTTGATGTTTCTGTACATATTTTGTAGCATCGTCCGTGCGTTTGCAAAAGGCGTCTCTGCTCAGGAGCTAATGCTGTTTAGGGTCCACAAGTACAGAGTAGTAATGATTTACTGCTGAATCTTTTAACTTTTTATGTAGTATTTTTCTCACTCCAGTGTTACTAGAACCACAGTATTTTACATCTGTTTTTCTCCTGTGTTCCCTCAGCGTGGTGTGAACTGAACAAGGATGGAGAGGATTCAGTGTTCCTGTGGCGTCTGGATCAGGAGCTGTGTTGCCAGATCTATTGACAGAAACAAGCAACTGGGTCTACAGAAACAAGTCCAAACAGCGCCGTCTCAGCAGCACAGACAGGACAGGTCAGACATGAGCATGAAAATGTTTAATATTTGATCCTAAATAATTTTAAAAAGCATTTTTATTTAATATTTCTTTTTTTACTACCTGTAGATTGAACATTATCATTTTTAGAATATTTTTTTGTCAGATTTCATTAATTCAGTCTAAATCCAATGGAGAGATTAAAGTCAAAATACAAATGTTGACATAATGATGTCATAATGGTGTCTTATGATTTAAGTTGAAAAACAATTTTGAGATGATGTCCCAGGGCGGACAAACTTTATTTTGATCTTCCGCTCTAGGTTGAATCTATTTATACTTTTTTCCATATTTTGTTCGATTCGTTTATGGCACTAGTAGAATTCAACAGTATGACCACAGACACTGATCGGCCCAATCAGTGAAGACAATGTGAACCAGCCAATCAGAGACAGTCATTCTGTTAATACACAAACCACTCCAAACTAAGACTTCATTCATATCAATATTTTCCAGTGAATTTATAGAATGTTATGCCCAAAGTCGCTATAATAAGCAGACTTGGCAACCATGATCAGGGACCGTCTGATGAAACATGAATTCTGGGTTGTTTTTGTCCAAATCCGACAGCATGAAAGAGTATTTATTTATTGTGTTATTAAAGGATGTGGAGCTGAGACAGTGACTAATCTCCTTCCTTTCACAAACACAGCCAGTAATCACTGTTCTATGGAGCAGCTCAGTCATCCATCCATAATGTTATCAAGACACATGATCAATGTGTGTGTGTGTGTGAGAGGGAGAGAGTGTGTGTCTGCGTCCATTTCATTGTCATTTTGAGGCGCTCTTGTAAGCAGGTGATAGAAATGTTGATGTGAATGTCATCCTGTGGAAGGGAAAAGAGCTCAGTTTTGTTCCTCACAATTTTTAAAAGCACGTGTTCCTCGTGCAGCACATTTTTCCTGCAGCCTGTGGCTTGATCTTCCATTGTCAGGCAGCCGAGGTCACACACTAATGTGTGAACATTAGTTCCTTTTGTCAGACCTGAAAGGCTGGCAGGGCCTCACTGCTTAGATGATAACACAGTGATACGTCTCTCTGCTGTGTTTCACCACCGTACTGGATGTGCTGCCTGCTGACGCCGTCTTTGTATGTTATCTGGAAAGTTCCACTGCCTCTGATATGACACTACGTCTTATAATTATGGGTACATTTATACACTGAATTACCTAGTAACGTATTATTAGGGTGTTATACTTCGGCCTGTCACTGGCTGTGCTGTTGAGTTACTGTACAGATGCAACAACGTTCTGGCTTTGGACATTTTATATATAGTGTTTTTGACCATATCATGCCCTGTTCACTTTGGTGATAGCTGTGTTGTGTGTGCAGTGGTGAATGACAGAATGACAGAAGTCATTTACTTCCACTTTTCGATAATCGTGTGTAAACAAGTGTGAAACACACACAAATACCTGCTGATATTTGTTTCTCCAGACTGTCTATACAGCTGTTTTTTTTGTCATGCTGATTAATCTTAATTAAAAAATGATTATTGTGATTAATCTGTAGCTGAACTGTGTTTAGAATTGAAATTTTGACTTCCTGAGCTTTTAACCTAACAATTCAGACCTTAAAGTTTTTTAATGTGACTTCCTGAGCTTTTATCCTAACAATTCAGACCTTAAAGTTTTTTAGAAATCCTAAATACTTAGATTAATTTTCTGTCTACTCTACTTTAAAAATTAATCATTTAAACATTTTTTGCAACTAGCTCTAGTTTTAACTGCGTCCATCGTTCACACACACACACACACACACACACACACACACACACTCTGGTTCCAACTTGTCACTAACCAGGTGCCCTAATTGTAAATAATGTTCCTAGAAACCTTAGCCGAAAGAACGTAACGACCACCATGTACCAGTAGGTCATTTAATAACCTTAACCAAAATGATTAACCGTCCAGTCGGTCCTGCTTTTAGTTCGTGCGTCGGTGTCACATTTGATGCATAATGTCGCCCCTCCGAAATGGGTTGTTACTGAGACCAGACATTTTTCAGAAACAGAAGGTCACAGCAGGAGGCAGATCAGGTGCAGAGATATTTGGGTGAGAGCTGAGTCACGTCACTCCGCTCTCTCTGCAGCTTCAGTCTCCATATTGAACAGAGGGTTTGAGTCATTCTCCTCTCCGCAGGGAGTCTTCTCTGTCAGGCTGCTGGAGCAAATTGACCTGCGAGTCGAGTGGATATTTGTGGGTGTAGTTATTTATTGAAATGTTAGAGACGGAGAATTGATGAGTGTCTGACAGGTCCAGACACCTGGAGTTTTCAGAGGTCCACACACACAAACCTTAAAGCTGTCTGTGAAATGCTGGAGGAGACAGTAAACCCTCCCTTTTTTTTCTAGGTATAACACCATCTGCCTGATCTGTGTCTGAGGTTTCTGTTTGATTCTATATCTGCCTCTGTGGTTTTCAACATGTTTTCATTGTTATCTTTTAAAAGCGTACCGCTGCCTTTTAGGGAAACAAAAAGCAGCAAAGAGCCGGAAATGTTTTTTTTTCTTCCCCCCTCTCTCTCTCTCTCTCTCTCTCTCTCAAACTTCAGTGCACTAATTACTCCAGTCTTGTCTGAGTGGTTTGATTTAGCAGCTGTAGCTCCACATTTCCAGAGAATAATCAAATTTGATGAAATGATACTCTGTCTGATCATCCGTATGTAATCATTCATCAGATGTGAAAACAGGTCATCAAATTAGATTCATGTGGCTTTCTGCTTGTCAAGATGCTGCTTGGAGGTTTACAGAAATAAGCAAAAAAACAAAACAAAAACAAACTCAGGAGACATTTATCATCATCTTTGTCACTGATCTTTTTTCACCTTTCAAAAAATAATCATTAATAATTCCTCAGGTGGGGATATAATATTATATAATTGTTTTTTATTTTAATAAATATTATTATTTAATTATTTTTTAAATATTTCAAGTAAATAAAACTCTCTATACAGTTTTACACAATACAAAATTTCTGTTCACCACTAGTTGGTGCTATAAATATTAATATAAATGTGAACATAAATCAGCTTCACTACATTTTACATCTTACGCCGCACTTGTCTGTCAGTACATGGTTTGTAGTACATCCTGGCACTGGATTTTCATCATTATTTTGTGAATTTTGTGAACACCATTACTCACTCCATAAGTACTAATACTATTATTATTACTATTCTTTTGTCTGATTAGTGTCTCGTGGTAAATCTACAGCGGGGTAAGAACAACAGGCAGTTGTTGTTTGGAAAGTAACAGTCGATGGGTTTTTAATATTCATTATCTTCCAGCGGTTATGAAATTTAAAAATCCCTAAATTTTACTATGTAAATATTTAGGTTGCAAATCATCAAAACCTGAGGAAACACACGACTCTGCTGCACTCAGGCCAGCAGCTCGGCCGATCTAATGCGCTGTGACGTGACCTTCTCATTTTGCCCAGCGCTGTGTAAAACCCACTCCTCCACCCACCCCCAGGGGCTGCTCTCTTTTACCGCCCTCCCTTCAGTCTCACCTCCCTCTGCCAGGCGGTCTGTCCCTGCTCCGCTCCCCTACATACTGTCGCTTAGTATTTGTGGCAATCCTACTACTGTATACTGGCACGGCTTTCTCACAGCACACAGGTGCAGCCGAGCATGAGGACGCAAACACACAAACACACAAACACACACAGACACTGCACAAAAACAACGACAGAAATATGCAGCAGTCAGAGGTGGAGGAGTGAATCTGGGGCAGGCAGGTCGGCAGAGGGTACACACACACACACACACACACACACGAGCGTGTACAAATGAGTGCACCATAAGGATACAAATGTACATGAATGTATGTGTGTGTGTGTGTGTGTGTGTGGGTGTGTGTGTGTGTGTGTGTGTGGGGTTAGCTATTCTCCGCTAACAGGCTGTTACTGCTGTGATGTCATTCAACAGGACATAATGGGCTGGAGGTACGGCAGGGAATGACACACCCTAGTGTCCTGGTGAGATGCTCATGATCATTGTGTGTGTGTGTGTGTGTGTGTGTGTGTAGGGTTAGCTATTCTCCGCTAACAGGCTGTTACTGCTGTGATGTCATTCAACAGGACATAATGCGCTGGCGGTACGGCAGGAAATGACACACCCTAGTGTCCTGGTGAGCTGCTCATGATCATTGTGTGTGTGTGTGTGTGTGTGTGTGTAGGGTTAGCTATTCTCCGCTAACAGGCTGTTACTGCTGTGATGTCATTCAACAGGACATAATGGGCTGGAGGTACGGCAGGAAATGACACACCCTAGTGTCCTGGTGAGATGCTCATGATCATTGTGTGTGTGTGTGTGTGTATGTGTGTGTCTGCTAATAAATAGGAAGTGTAATAAAGCACAGTGCTGCCATGTCCTGACATGAACTGGCCACGAAAACCTGAAGACATGCTCAGGCTGACGGCTTGTCTTATAATTCATGAGCTTTAATCTGTTGTTCTTATCTCTGCAAACACACACACACACACACACACACACACAGTGTGTGTCTCGAACACACAATGATCGTCAGCATCTTCCCAGAGGAAACCCTGTGCTGGTTTTCCTGCAGACTGTTTCAACCTGACCAGTGATCACATGTTCTTTGTTGATGATGTCACAGACTACAGTTGTATTATTACATTTTCTTTCAATTTTTTTTACGTGGAAGAAGTTTTTGGTTTAATAACAAAGACAAACCAAATTTTAATGTAGACTGTGATTTTTTTTCCCCCTCTGTTTTTATTTCCTGCTTGTCTTTTCTGGCTGACAGGCAGTGGTTTCACCTGCCAACGGGACATGGCTTCGAACTCACAACAAGGACTTCTTTTTTTGGCAGAACGTCTGGCAAATCCATCCTGTTGTCCTGACATCTGCACTGACTCAAATGTCCAGGTCTTATCACTTGGTGAATAAAAACATTTCCACCCTCCTCTCAGGGGTCTCTTCAGCTGTTTGACAGGGTCAATTAAAATTCTTAATCTTGATTTCTCACAGTGTAGCTGTAAGTTAATCATGGCTGTAATTAATCACGATTGATAAAAGTAAGTCAACATTCCTAAAAATTAAAAATATTAATCAGATTAATCTTAATGATTTAAGTAATGCAGTAAACCTGTCAATTTTCACTGCCCTGGTTTAAGGGTCCAGCCTGTGACGTTAGCGCCACCTGAGGCCACACTTGTTTATCCCCCTAATTTAATAGGACTGTGCTGCAGGCTGGAGAACAGGATAATGCCAGCCTATAGTCACCTCGGAGAGTTTCCCTAACAGATGGTCCAGCTCTTTACTCAATCCCCCAGTGGTGAAGTGGATCCATGTAATCCACTGTTGAGAAGCTGACTCTGTCAGAAAGATGAACACTCCCCCTGAATTTGGTGACTCCGTCAACAGTCACCTCAGGGGAGAGTGAAATGTTTGACCACTCCGCACTACCCCACCTAACTCACCGATCAGGTCATTACAACTGTGCCTGTAGCAACCCCTGCAGGGGAGTGAGGGGCTTGGTGGGTGAAAATTGAAATTGAATAGTGTTGCATTTTTTTTTCTGTTTCTTCTTTTTAAAAATGAAGCCTAGAAAATGTACTCTGGGAAATAAATGTTCTGTTCAGCTCAGTTCAGTTTGGACTATTTGTCACATTTAAAGTGGGAGTCTCTGCTCATCCCATGTGAGGTGGAGCCCTGGACAAAGAGCCGAAATGTTGTTAAACTGCATTTAATTGACTTTAGACAATCTACATCATCATCTCCAGCCATCGTCGATGGCACCGGTAAAAAAACCTGCAGTGGTTCAGTATGATCTGAGTCTAAAGACCAGAATATTAACTACATATACTGTTCACATGGCATATATAGTTTTATAGACCAGAATGTTGTCTTTTGCATATTGAACTTTTTTTTGAACCTGCTGTGGAGACAGCTGGATACATTCTGAAAACAAACACTTCCAAAATAGGTCAATGTGGTGGAAAGGTGGTCAGCACTGGGAACACGGCAGGGTTCACGCCCCAGCCTGGTTTTTCTGTATGAAGTTTCCATATTGTATCTGTGTGTGTGCGCATGAGGGTCAGGGGGAGGAGGGGAGGGGGTCTCTTGGTCCTCAAATTTCCTCTTCGAGCTCCTTCTATGACCCTGAAATGTCTCAAATTTCCTCCTCGAGCTCCTTCTATGACCCTGAAATGTACAGATGGATGATGTTTACACGTATTATTTTCCACTTTGTAACTCCATCAGGTCTATTGAGAAAAGTTAGTGGGTGGAGTGAGCCCTTAAAAATACCAGCCCAGCGCCCCCTAGTGTTTAAAATGAATCTGTCTGTCTGTCTGACTGATGTATTGTGTGTATGTTTTTGACCTCTCAGGATGTTTTGGTTTTAGTAGAATATTCACTGCAGCCTGTAAATTTATTAGCTCATAATATTCAACGTCTCCCTTCGACACATCTGTCAGGACGGAGCTGAGTTCACGGTCGCTGCTTCTCTGGGTTTTTCAGTCTGGGGGTTGGGAAATCTGCTGGTATCAGTTTCTTCGATTCCCTTTTGGTTCAGAAAACGCTGACGTTTTTATTTTATTACACTCAACAACTTTAATTGTTCCACATCTGCACTGGAACTTCCTTCATAGTTAAATCAAGTCCGATGCGAGAGAATGATTGAAGTGTGCGTCCTCCTGGACTGGATACTTGGAAAGACGGAAAACGTCTGCACGCTGAATAGTCATCACGGGTAAGACCCCGAGTGACCCTGTGTGTGAGTGTGTACGTGTGCATCTGTGTGTGGGTGTGTTTTGGAGACATGACATAAATATTTGCGTTAACTGAGGATCAAACGCAGACCCATGTGCTTTTTGTTCCCAACCATGAATTGTTTTTCACAAATCTGGACCTAACTGTCGTTCATATGGTGCGTGGCGTCGTTACACAACCTCCTGCCAAAGCCCGGGGTGACTTCAGAAAGAGGAAAACATCCCAAGATAAACAATTAAACATTTTGTTTAATTGCAAGTCAAAAAGGTCCAAGACCGGCGTTATTAACGTCTGACTTTAATAACAAATAATACAAATGTGGAGGGACACAAGTCTCAGATGTCTCTGTTAGATCTTCTTCTTCTTCTTCTTCTTCTTCTTCCTCCTCCTCCTCCTCCACCAAACATGAAGCATGTGTTTGTGGAGTCTTCACCCTCAGGTCAGACTCACCAGGCTGGCTGATTTGTATTGTTGACTGTCTGTAACGAGGTCTTTTAACGGGGAAGTGGTGGCTTCGTGGTTAAGGAAGCAGTCTTGGTCTGAAAGGTTTCAGGTTCGAGTCCACCAGCTGCCAAGTTACCACTGAGCAATCAGCAGGTGGCCCAATCCACTCTTCCTACTGACGACGGACTCATCTGCACCATCAGACCTGTACGGACATCATTTTGTTCCCATGATGCACTCCACCTCTAACACCACACTGTCCAGTTGTAGACAGATCTCAGAACAACGAGAACAACAACGTCTGAACTCGCTGTCTTTGAGAGAGAGAGAGAGAGTGAACAAGAGCCGCAGCTCGTCCGTGGAGACAGGTGCACTCATCTTGGAGACACGTCCCTCTGCCTGTTCCACACATCTGCCTCTCCTCTCTCCCCCACTCCCTACCTCTCTCTCTCTCTCTCCTCTTCTCTCTTTCACTCTCGTTGTTCAGGTTGGAGGTGATGCATCACCTTAAGCAGGCATCTTATTAGCCGCACGCTAACAGGCAGCCTGTGTTCCTGCGGGGGCTGAATGCTGCTGAGTCACCCTGTACAAGCTGAGCAGCACGGGGACTCTTCAGGTTTCACACACACACACACACACACACACGACCACACACACACCGTAAAATGTTTTGGTTGGTTGTAGTAAATCAGAAGTCGTAAAATGTTTTGGTTTTTTTTGCAGTTGTAGATTTGTAGATGTTTAAGGCTGTGTGTGTGTTTGAGACTGTGTGTGTGTGTGTGTGTGTGTGTGTGTGTGTGTGTGGCAAACCTGCTGCTCTCTCTTTCACCTGTGCCTCTTGTTGAAGCAGCAGCAGGACGCGGTTGTCGACAGGTGCTCTCTCCACCCTGGACCCGGCTCTGATTACCCTGACAGTGGGTTTTTGATACTTGTACTGCAGTACTGGACGACTGTGGTGAAAGACCAATCACTGTGCTTCGCTTTTCTCAGCACTTACGACCTCATCATCAACAGTCTTTTCATGTATAGTTTGTTTTAAATGGCAGCTGGCCAGAGCTGGAACGTTGTGGTTACAGTGTGACCGGCTGTCCTCGTTTCTACAGCCGCTGCTCTGACTGATGAACAGTCGCTTTCCCAGGAACGCTGTTGGCACTCAGGGTAGTTGAACTCCACGTTAGCCTACAGTTTAGTGCATTCACATGTTAAAGAGAACAGCAGGACCAGTACAATCATAACCTAACTATAAATAACAATACGTTCATTTTTTCCCCTTTGTTTTCATGCAAATGTTCATTTTTTCCCCTTTATTTTCATGCAAATACATACAAGTACATTAGATATATATTATTATTATTTAAATTTAATGAAATATGATTTTACAAATATCCAGAGCATGAAGTGTTTGTGTACTTTTTCAAGCCCGCGGGCTGTATGTTTGACACCCCAAAGTCAACAGTTGATGATATCCATAACTATCCCTGCTTTTACAAATGTAAACCACTGTGAGGACATCTGTGACTGGAGTCGAGTCTAAGCTCAACATCTTCCAGCCGTTTGTGCGTTGTATCTTTTAATTCTCAAAAATCACCACCTGATCGTCACCTGATGCCTGGTCCTAACGTCTGTCGCTTCTCTCCTCAGTTTTTAAATTCCATTTTTCTGTAAAACCTCTGGGGTGCATCGAGCCTGAATTGGCATGCTGCACAAATCCCTCTAATCCATTTAATTAAAGTCTTGTACGTGATTGTGTGGGATTCGTATTGAAAAGGACTGCACACACTTTTGTTTATTAAGTGTTAGCTAATACACAGATGGAATTTATTGGAATTGAAACAGTTGTCATCTGTGTGTAACTGTATTCGTGTAACTGTATTCCTGTATTCGTGTTGGAAGGTCCTGGTACCGATGACAAGTTCTTGACAGGAACTTTGGCAGGACAAGATCAGATCATATTCTGATCAAAGTGTCAGATTAGCCTGCCTGCAGTGCAGATCTTTCTTCTATTCAAATATCCAATGCATCACGAAGAGAAGAGCCCGACGTCAGTGACCACAGAATGTCGGGCAGTTTATTTCTGTGACTCCAACAAACAGTTTCCTCGCTTCCTTAACGTTTGAATGATGTAATTAAATTAAATTAAACCCGGCTGTGATCCAGTGGTGATTTTGTCTCATTTCTTCGTCTTTTCCTCCATCAATGAAGGTTTTACATGCGTTACCAAATTACAGATTTCAGCTTTAATTACATTTTTAGTAAGTGAACAAACTCTTCTGGAAGTGGGGACTTGGTAATTTTGTCTAATTAAAGGCGTTTTTACTGTCGGCGAGGCTTGGCTCGAGCATGCACGCTGCTGCTGGCTCTTATTTGCGAGGTTAACATACTTTCACTCTGACAAACGCTGCCAAATTTTCCCCACATACACTGAGAAAATGACAGGTTTTCTCCACTGACAGATGTTACCCTTGGGCCGTGCTTTCTGGGAGGAGCCAAATAAAGAGAGGCAGTAATGGGTCACACGGTGTGTGTGTGTGTGTGTTTGTGTGTGTGTGAAAACCCAAGACAGATGCAAAGACGGGGATAGTGGAGTGTTAAAAAAGTGAGAGTAACAGTAAACAGTTAAATGATGGATGGATCGTCTGACGTGACTCAGCGCTCGCTCGCCGGCCTGCCTCTCCTTGACTGGCGAGCCGCCTGCACGACGAAGACAAATGACCCAGCAATGAAGGAAAATGAGGATTTTATCACCCATTTCCCTCTCACA